AGCGAAGAGACCCGGTCTCAGCTTGTCAGACTGCAAAAACCAGCTCCACAAGACCCTCTGTGTCTGCCATGCCTTCTTTTTCCTCCTCGGTATTGAGTCTTGCTCCTGTGTCTGGAGTAGCAGCACTCATGTGTAGCGCCTTCTTACTCTCCGATTTTGTGAACGGAGATAAAGCAGACAGAAAACAAAAAGGAGGCCTGTCTCAAAGAGCAGCAGCCAGCACAGTGTTAGGATTTACCAGTGTTAGGAAACTGAGCCATGAGCCCAGAGAGGAAAGAAAGAACCAAAACAATGCCCACAAACCAATTCAGCTTCGGTGGAGGGCTGAAGTTTGACGCCATGGTGGCCAGAGAAGAGCCAGCAGAGGGGAGACAGGACAGGGGCGCGAGGCCCGTGGCATTGTGTAATAGTGTCTGTGCTGCTCAGGGCTTAAATAGGGTCAGGTCAGGGGTGGGGGTCACAGGAAGCGCCCAGTCCCAGGCACTGGACTATTAGCCAAGCGCCCGCCCCTCCTCCAGGGACTCAGGCACGCCCCTCCCCTGAGAAGCGGGCTTCACCCTCCCCTACTGAAGACAAGATGCCAGACCCTACCATCCACCGTGTGGCCAAGAGGGCCCTGACCAGACCCCCGCTCCTCATTTCAATATCAGGGCCTTATCTTTTAGGCAACAGGCGTTCCTCGAAAGCAGTGATGTATGCGCGTGAAATCACCACAGCTCTGTCTGTGAGCTGTCCCACAGTGGGGAGAAGTCCTGTGACTTGCTACCCCGGAGTGGCCTCAGTTCCTCCATCTGTGAAAAGTGGGCACTGTCCTGCGTACACCCCAGGACTGTGGTGAAGGCTAAATGAGCCAATATTTACTAAAGGTGGTGAAGGTTAAATGAGCTAATATTTACCAAATGCTCAGCTCCAAATGCTTGGCCTATGGTGAGAACTAAATATTTGCTGCTATGGTGGTTGTTACATAGTGTGCTGTTCTTCTGTGGCCCTGCAGTGGAAGAGTGCGACGGGATCCAGCATTGAACGCTTCCCCTCTACATCCACATTCTGCTATCTTCATCGTCATTGCTTTACACTTCCACAAAGCACTTGCTCTTGGGACCTTAAAATTGCGAATAACTTCCTCTTCCACCTGGGCCACAGTCTCCAAAACCCCCAAGTAGCAACCAAGGACAGTTTATATCCCAACCATTGGCAACTTTTCACCTGGCCGCGTCCTGCAATGCAGTTTCCCACATTTCAACCCCTGTCCCCCTCCATGAGAGTTCCAGACCTCATCAACAGCTCGGTGTGGCCTTTCTCCACTGGACTGCTCCCAAGACTGAGCACACAGCCCTCCACCCCCACGTCCAATAGACTCCGCTTTGTCTCTGGCTAGGTTGTTTCAATGATAGTTTTCAGGAAGCCAGGTGAGGGATGAGGAGACTGGGTGACCAGGGAGGTGCGTTTGAATGAGGCACTGTGAATGAGAGAGGCTAGCTGGGAGGTGGGGAAAGAGAGGGTACATCCGGGGGACACCGTCAGACAGCAGCTCTGGTACCTGGTGAGGCAGAAGTGCTTTTCAAAGTAACACTTGCTGTGTTTGTTAGAGGTGGTGGAGGGTTTGGGCTGACATATAAACAAAGCCAGCTGTTCCAAAGTCCTACACAACTCTATTGTTATTATAAAGGGGATGGACGGAGGGATTACAGGTGCCTAAGTCAGGTAATGAGTGCATTTCCTTTCGTAGAGTATCTTCCCTTCCCTCTCTCACAGTTCTGTAAAAGCTCTACTCATCCCTTCAGAGGCTGCAAATAATTTGTGTTAGATTCAGGCTCCATTAAAAGATTAGGTTACTACCTGCTTGGTGACAATGCTCTCCTTCATCAGAAATGTTACCTCTCTGTGCTGAGCATCCTCCCCTTCCCCCTCCCTGCTCCCCCTCCCCCCTCCCCTCCCCCCTCCCCTTCCCCTCTCCCTTCCCCTTCCACACCCCCCCCCCCCTGCCGTGCATCACCTATCTGTGACAGGGCATTATTAAGAAACTGGACTTTCAAGGTGGCAAATGGCTAAAGGAGGTTGGCTGAGACCTGGAGAGTTGGCCCTTTGGCCTTGAACTCCAGTAGCAGAATCAATGAAGTGTTCATTGATAGATGAATGAATTTAAAAATGTTAATGTAACACATGTGTGCAATGCTGATCAGCCATCCAAAAAATAAGGCAATCCTAACATGTGTGACTCTAGATGGCACCGTGCTAAACACAGAAAGACCAACCCCGAGTGAGCTCTTCAACATGAGGAATGTAAAGAAGTCAGATGCAGAAACAGTAGAAAGTTGTTTGCTAGGGACTTGTTGCTGTGTTGGTTCTGGAGAAGAAATGCACGGCATAATTATAGTTAGTAACGTACCATGCACTTGAAATTTGCTGAGTAGATTTTAAGACTCCTCACCACACACACAAAGGTAATTATATGAGGTGATGGATATGCTAATTAGTTGGATTTGGGTAATGATTCCATAGTATATACATGTATTGAAATACTATGTTGTACACTTTAATTATATATCCTTTTCTGTTGGTCCTGATTAGACCGATAAAAGCTGGTGTCAGAGGCTCATACCTGTACGCCTCAGGAGGCTGAGATCTGAGGATTGCTGTTTGAAGCCAGCCTGAGCAGACTAGTCTGAGAGATTCTTAGCTCCAGTTGAAATGTTTAAAAAGGTGGAAGTGGAGTTGTGGCTCAAGTAGTAGAACATCAGCTAAGGGATAGCTCCCAGACTCTTGTTTTAAGCCCTGGTACTGGCACAAAAATGAAACTCCCGAACAACAGAACCGTAACAAAATAGAGATGATCCCTAGAAACTGGGGATTGACGCTTGATATGTATTGGATGTCAAAACAATTCTCTTTTATGCTCAATTCTCCTTTGATGCTTTCAGGTATTAAAAACAGAACTTCTTCAGTAGGTAGCTCTTTCTTCTCCTGTTTTTCCATGTGTGTGTGTGTGTGTGTGTGTGTGTGTGTGTATGTGTGTGTGTGCGCGCGCGCACTGCTCCTGGAGGTTGAATTCGGGGCCTGAGCCCTGTTCCTGAGCTGAAGGCTTGTGCTCTACCAGTTGGGCCACAGCTCCACTTCCTGCTTTTGGTGTTTAATTGAAGGTTAAGTGTCTCACAACTTTACTGCCTGTGCTGGTTTTGTAACATGAGCGTTAGATCTTAGCCTCCTGAGTAGTTAGGATTACAGGCATGATCCACTAGTGCTCCTGCTTTTAAGACTATTATTTCCAAAGATAGCTTGATGGCGCACACCTTCAATGCAAGCACTTGGGAGGCGAAGAAAGGAGGTTTACAAATCCCAGGACAGCACAGTGAGACTGTCACAAAGTACTAAAACAGTAGCAACAATAACAGATACAACAAAAAGCACAAGCTATTAGTCTCAGGACTTTTTCTCTCCCCTACCTGTTCTCAACAGACTGCAGCTCATTTGTGTGTAAAATGTGTGCTGACAGTGGACTGTAGCTCAAAGTGCTCAAAGTACAGCTGTATATGCACAATAACCTCCTTCCCCCCATCCCCCCAAAAAGATCTGCACTTGAAGTAGAGCAGGGTCTGGGAAGAGATGGATGGTGGAAATCATAGAACAGAGATGAGTGAAAGACATTTTTGTTTTCAGAAGAGATGCCATTTGTTTGGAGTCATGTCTTTGACTCATTTGTCAATTAGGCCAATAGAAGCATGAGGTAAAAAAGGTTCCAGGCAAAGTGCTTTGAGCCTGTGCACTAAATGTCAGTTGTTACTCATCTACTCCAATGAACATATTAAAATAGGCATGCATCTTGGAGTGGATGGGCGGGAAGAGCTTTCCCAAGGAGGAAACACTTCCTTGGGGTCAAGTCCACGAAGAGAATTCTAACGGGGCCACAAAGACCTTGCTGATATGTTTAATAACAAAGAAAGTAAATTATAAACACTCAGTAACATTTGTGTCAGTGATGAGCGTACGGTACCCATGTTCTGCAGGGTTTTAAAACATTGGTTTCTATAGAAAGGTCATTGGAGCTTTCACATGAAATGCACAAATTCTTGTTAAACAAGAACTTCTTCCTGCACCGATGTTGTGACGGGTAAGAATGGATGGGTGAGAATGGATATTTTTGAATCTTCCTGCTGAAGGTGAGTGAACACGTTTCGCACTGGCACACAGCTCACAGAACCAAACTGTCCTCATCTAACAAGCAATTAGACCCCTATTTATCTGATTTTAGCAAATGAAATCCCATTTATTCACTCGGTGGATCTAGAGGTTAAGAGAATGTTCTAAGCACCTCAAAATCTTGACAATAAATTTTGGTTGTGGCTACAGAATTGTGTTTGTTTTTCCCTGATCACATCTTTTCTTTTCCTGCTCTACCTGCCAACCTCCCTCCCCGCTAAAGGTCCCCTTGACTTTGTTAATAAAACAAAGTGGGGGGGCTGGGAAGGTGGCTCAGTGGTAGAGAGCTTGTCTTGCATGCCTGAGGCCCTGGGTTCGATTCCTCAGCACCACATAAGCAAAAAGAAAAAAGCCAGAAGTAGCGCTGTGGCTCAAGTGGTAGAGCGCTAGCCTTGAGCTGAAGAGCTGAGGGACAGTGCCCAGGCCCAGAGTTCAGGCCCCACGGCTGGACCCCAAAAAAAAAAAAAACCAAAGTGGGCCACAGTTTGCTCCTTCTTCCTTGGGGGTAAGTGAAGAGCATCAGCAGTCCCGCCTAGAGCTGAGCCTCTCATATCTGGATGTAAGCCAAGTGCATCTGCCCTGCCTTTGTGACCACTGAGCTACTATCTGGGATCACTGAAATCTGTTCTCCCCGCCAGCAAACAAGGCCGAAGGGGCCAGCGTCCTAGAATGCTCATCAAGTTCTGCCCTCATTTACACGATATATGCAAAATTTCTCCTTGGTACACCTTCTTCCCTCAGACATCTTACAGGAGTGCCAGATAGAAGGGGGAAAAAAGGGAATAATTTGTGTAGCTACGGCATTGGTTTCTCAATGGTTGGTTTTAATGGTGATACAAGGATCTGAATTACATTCAATCACATCCAGTCTACAGTGTAAAAATTCTGGCAACCACATTTAGCATGGAATAGTGTTGCATTCATTTTTATTATTAGTTTAATTCAATTTTCTTTTTCTTGACAGTCTTAAAACATTCATTTTATACTAAACATAAAGCAAATGATTTTTCCTAAACACAATGCAAATGATTTTTCAATTGACCCTTCTCATAAAATAATAAAACAGGATCTCTTCTGACCCAAGTCACTGGAAGAAAAAAAATCTAGTAATTATCTCACTTAAATGAATCTGTACTTGATGAATGGCACAAATATAAGATAATACCCCATATTTTCAAGGCAGAGTCATTGTTCACCATGGTCTGGGAAGAACTTAGATAGTTGCCTATAAAGCAAATAACTTTATCTTTTATCCTCACTCAATAGATTCTTTCTACTCTAAATTTTCAGTTTATGTATGTGCAGGGACTTTTGATTTTTATTTATGAATGTGACTTCTAAAAATAAGACCCCCAAATGATGGTACAAAAAAATAGTGTTTAGTAACTAACATGTGAAAGTTAAATAAGTTCCATAACTTTACTGAAGAACTCGAACTTTGTTCCCATCTCTAGTTTCACTCACAAATTCTCACTTTTTCCATCCCTCATATTGCATTTGAATAAGCAAATGCTGGTCCCCGCAGTATAAGTTGGCTTTCCATAAACATTTGCTTCCCTTTTGTAACATGTTGCTTAAATCTTGCAAAAGGGAATCCTTTGAGCCCAGAGAGAATCCTATGCGCTCCTGTTAGCAATGAACAAAGAGGGGGTATCACAGCTACAGAAAAGATGGTGCAGCCACAATTTTAATGTGGGTTCGCGGACATGGATTCTACAAATCCAGTATGGATAGCATGGCAGACCCAGAACCCGCTAATTTCAACAGAAGTCAGATGCAGTGACACTACAGTTTCCAGGTGTGTTACATTTAACACACGCAGTTTAAAAGAAAATGGAGCACAGGTGAGGGTTACCTGTGTGTTCACTACATGTACTGTTTTCAACTCTCTAGTAGATTTGCTGGTTTTTAAAATGAAAAAAAAAACAGCTATAAGTTATAAATTAAAGTATTATGTCAAGTATCATTGGCTTTAGGGTAAGAAAATAATGTTCTATCTTACAAGTAGAAACCGTTCTACCAAAGGAAAAAAAATATATATATACACTTTAGAAACTAACACAGGGAGTGACAGGCGTGCACCTGTCACCCCTCAGCCACATCCACATCGTCTCTTGAGTTTCTTTTTCTTTTTTTTTTTTTTGAGTTTCTAAGCAAATAATGTTGATCTTTGTCCAACACTGGTTGTTTTACTTCTTGGTCTAACACAAAACACAACTTATCATTTACAAACGATGATAACGTTTTGAAAAAGAATACGCCTTTCAGTAAAATGAAACTTAAAATGATTGCTTTAAAACCAGCTGATATGAATAGCTCATGGACAATTCAAACGGGCTATGTTTTACCACTGAACTTAAAAACAGTTTCGGTTCTTGTGTAAAGACTAGTGTCAAATGACAAAGCTCTGCCATTCCTAGCAGCTCTTTGGCTGGACAGTATCATCTTAGCCCAAGTCTCAAAAGTAATAATAATAATAATAAAAAATCTTTACTTAGGATGGGAGATGGAATACAGTGCTACCTTTTGGTGACAACAGAGAGAGTAAAAAACTATGTGCTGTGGACAATACCAAGAGTGAATCTGAGTGAAATCTGAAGTTCCCCTCCCAGGCCTTCCAACAGGCCTCTTGAATAACAGAGCAACACTCCCTCCCCACTGAAGTCTCTGAGAGAGGAAGACACAACTTACAAAGGGCTTATGACCATGGGGGGGGGGGGAGGAACACCAAGACCCAAGGTTGGGCAGGGCCTGGTTCTTTCAAAGGCACTGATGACACTGGAATATGTCATAGACACAAGTGGATCCAATGAGCAAAAGCCCTGGGACAGTGGTAGTTGCTGGTTTCAAAAGCTCAGCATGGAGTATCATCATCAGTCTACATAGATTCCTTCTCCTTCCTCTCAGACCTACTTCTATCTCTGTTTTCTGCATGGATTTCTGTCAACTGGAGCACATCAGAGAATCAAGACCATGTTGGTTTCTCAAATGGCAAAATTTTTCACACCCTTTGATACAGAGGCTGGGGAGATGGGGGGGTGGGTAGGGGATATAAAAGGAAATATTGGGAAAAGATGAATGTTACTCTTGGTAAATAAACAATACTTTGAATATACACACTTTTTTTTTTTTTTGGCCTTAGAGTTAAGGTCTCAGGCTAGGAACATATTGCCTACCATAGATGAGGCCTTGGACTTATTCCCAGTACTAAAAGACAAAGGGAGAGAGGTAGAAAGTAAGAGAGGGAAGGAGACCATATCCAACTTGTCCCACACTCCTGAGAGCCTGACCATCATCCTGACTCAGCCTCCTGAGTACCTGTAACTACAGGTCTGTACCTGATAAACAGCTATTTTAAAAGATGATTCATAGAAATCAACTAAAATAGAAACTCATTTTTCCCCTTGCTTTCAAAATAAATGCCTATGTGCTATTATAAGGGAAAATAAGACAGCAACGTGAACATCATGCCTGTTGAAAGCTCCCTGAGACAGCATTCAGACACTACGCCATACAACGTGACAGCACAAAATCAATTACTTTACAAGGATCATGTACAATAAAAATCAAGTCTCCATTTCACCTCTACATAACCTACAGGATACACAGTATCCTTACAATTGTGTGTGGCAATAAATTTACCCATGTCGGAAAAATGATCAGACTATAAAAATTCTCAAAATAATTTTGGCACGAGTCCCTGAGTTGTTGTGAACAGTCCTGAAGGCTGCTTCCCGCCACAGCCTCCTTCCCGGCCATCCTGGCCCCTGCTCCCAAGGCTTCATTCCCTGGTGCAGCTCCCGACACTCCAGCTTCCCCTCCATGAACAGAGGCAGAGGAAGGAGGTGGGCTGGAGGCACATCTTCATTTAGTGTTCTAACCTCTCGAGGGCCTTATGCCGCAGATGCTCATCCAAACACTGGATGGCAAAGAGGTCGACGTCCATGTCAAACTTATTGGCAAAGAAGTGGTGCTTGCGAAGCATCCAGTTCAAATCCCCGGCCCCGAAAATGCACACGGCGCGCACATGCACCCCATCGCAGGGGGGGTAGGGTGCACCGCGGGCCATGTCGCCTTCGAAGTATTGCCACTTGACAAACCGGGCCACGGCGTTCATGTCAGACAGGTCATACTTATTGCTGGAGGACAAGGAACCTGGCACTTCGGGAATCCTTTGGATGGTGGCCCAGAGGTACTCATCGGGACTGTACGTGTCCTGCGCCCACTCCATGAACTTCTGGATGTGTTCATCCTCTAACACGAATCTCACGTACTCCCTACTGACCACAAAATAGGCGCTACCTGAAAACAGAGGTGTGCTCAGGGGAGGCGGTGTCTTGACCGTCCCCGTGTTAATGATCCGGCCGTTCATGATGACATAGTGCTTCCTCCACCTTTCCTCCTTATGGGCTGGCATCTTCTCTGTCTCCAGGTTGTTTTCACCCCTGAATGACTGCAGCTTCCTAACAATCTCCAGGTTGGTTTTGATAGGAAAATCCATGCCGCACAGATTGATCAAGTATTTCCAGCCCGCATTCATGGCGTACAGGTCCTTCATGCAGTTGAGGTCTGCCTGTACCCGACTCCAGGATGCATACACCACGGTCTCCAAGCGGCTGGCCACGAAGACGTTACTGAAACACGATGCGATGCCCCTCGCTGCAGCTAAGAAGGCTTCCTCGGATTTCTTGTCCACGTGAATGCAGTAGAAATTCTGCGGCATGTAGATGGCCCGCAGGAGCCTGTCGAGCATTTCAATCTTGTGATGAACCACGATGGAATAGGCAATTGGGAAGGCCACCTCCTCCTTGCTCAGGGGCTCTGTGATGTACTTGCGCTTCTTGATGAAAGAGCCACAGTCCCTTGTCATGTTTATATAGTCCTGCGGGGTCCACCGAGGGCGCCTCTTAAACCCCACCGTTAGCATCTCAAGCTTCGCCTTTTGGATTTCGCTAACATCACCCTGTAAAATTTTGGTGCAGTTGACATTGCTACTAGGATTCTCTTCCGTAAACTCCAAGTGACTGACACTTAGAAACTCGGGCTTCTGATGGATCTTTAAAACAGACAAGGTAATCAGAGACAAAACAAGAAGCACAAAGTAGTATTTAGTGGGACAAGAAAAAAGTCTCCTCCGCAGTAAGTTCTTCAGCATTTCAAAGGGCAATGAGAGACTTCCCTTTCTGAAGGTCGCAGTGGTAGGCTTGGGTGCCAAAGATTTTCCTCTCCAAACCGGTTGGGGTGTGTCAGAGGAACAAGAGCATCTTGAAAGGCAGGACAGCACTGAAAGCAACACAGAAATAATGTAAGTAAATACAATCTTGTACAGCATCTTCTTAGGTGAGAAAACAGTGTCACTGCTACAAAGGTCAGGTCAGTTTTTTAAAAGAAAAACAAGGTGGGTTAATAAAAGGAAGAGATCGTTTTACAGGAAACCCACAGTCTATAGCATTAAAGCCACAGGGAGGTTGTAGAATGAGGGAAGAGGTAATGGGAGGGGACCCTGGACACAGCTGCCAAAACCTAGTACTAAGTTGTCCTCAATTAACATGCATATACTGAGATGCTGTTAGAACCTGGACTGTAATTACTGAACTGTCTATACTTGGGGAGAGCCAGTGTTAACAAGCACTAAAATCACTACTCACGTCCATGAACTGGTGTCAGCAATCAGGAAGGCTCGAAGAGATTAGATCATTCAGACATTTTTAAAGAAGTTTTGAAAGCAGAATAATTCAGCTGACTTTTCAAACCAAACTAAAATAATTTTATGTAAAATGAGGCCAGATTGGGGGCTGAATTAGGTTAATACCATATTTAAATTCAGTTCAATGACAAGTACTACAGGAAGACAAGACAGACACAGTCCAAAATAGAGCCTGTATTTCCTAATAATGGAGCCGTTAGCCCGGAACCAGTAGCTCATACCTATAATCTTAGTTACTTAGGAGGCTGAGATCTAAGGATTGTGGTTCAAAGCCAGCCTAGGCAGGAAAGTCCATGAGACTCTTACCTCTAACCAGTAAAAAAAAAAAAAATGGGGCTTTGGTTCAAGGGGTACAGCAATAAATAGCCTTAAGCAAAGAAGCTCAGAGATAGTACCCATGCCCTGAGTTCAAGCATCAGGATTGGTAAATATACAAAAATTAATAATTATTATTAATACTAACATTGGAAAAATAATAAAATTATAATTTCTATTGGAGACCACCCTATTTTTATTACAAAAATGCTTCCAAACATTCACATGTTGTTTGGTATTTTCTGTGTGTGTACAGAGGCTTGAAGTCTGCTCTTGCTTGGCTTTTTTTTTGCTCCAGACTGGTGTGACACCTATGAGCCATCTCTCTACTCAGTCTTTTCGCTAGTTAACTGGAGGTGAGAATCTCATGGGCTTTTCTGCTCGGGCTGGCTTCAAACCTCAATCTTCAGATCTCAGCATCCAGAGTAGCTAAGATTACAGGTGTAAAGCCCCAAGCACCTAGCTATTGTTTAGCTTTTAGAAGCAATTTTGTTATTTAGCAATTGGTTCTACAACAATAGGGGCTGTTCCAAAACAGATCAAATACCATGCATGAACCATATCCATACCGGGTTTAGAAAGTGATGTTTGTTTTTTTCGGTACTAGGGTTTAAACTCAGGGTCCTCTGTTTGCTGGGCAGGTGCTCTACTACGTGAGCCATGCCTCTGGCCCCAGATGTAGAGAGACTTGACATAGGAGGCTTTTTTTAAAGAATCTTTTTGTTCTTTGAGACAGGGTCTCACTATAGTCTATGCTAGTCTCAAATTTGTGATCTTCCTGTGTCAGCCACCTAGGGGCTGAGATTACAGCTGTGTAGAATCCTTTGTTTGAATTAAGTTCTAAATGCCAGAATTAACACTGAACCTCTTAAATATTTCAGTGGGAAATAGATTATCACTATCAATAATGAAAATAAAAATTACCAGTACCACATAAATGCAGGATCAAATGAAGCATTTGGATCTTTACCATTCAGAATACATAGACGTCTGGGTGATTCAGTGTTCTGGTCACTGTCATACTGTTAGGTTTCTCAAATGCACCAACAATGGTGATATACCTCCAGGGCTGTTTAAATAATCTACAAGACAGAATGAGAAATAAGTGAGGCGGATGGAAATACATACCCCGATTATTTCTCTCTTTTACAATTTCTTCATTTACAATCTTATTTTTTAACTTAATATGTGTATGGTTTGCTAAAGGTTTCAAAACACCTGGCAATTTAAGCTAAGCTTGTGTGTGTGTGTGTGTGTGTGTGTGTGGTGTATATTGCTAGGCATCGAACCCAGGTTCTTTCATATGCTAGGCCAAGCTCTCTATCATTGAACTATACCCTTACACCCCTAGCCATTGGTGAAGCCTATATGAAAGGAAATTCTAGTAGCCTTTCCTAAAATGTATGCTGAGCAACCATTTAATGGTCCAGTATGTGTGACTGGAAAACCCAGCATACAGATTCCAGGCGTTCACTAGCATGTTAGTGACCATACTTCCTCTCCTTTTCCTTTGACTATCTTGATCACTGCCCTGCTCCCACACTTTCTTTGAAAGCAAACATTTCTGCTAAAATCGTTAAGCATTTCCATCATTACAACATCAAAACACTAAGCAATGATATTCCTTGCCTCTTATAGTTCAAGACATTTATAGAAACCTCTGTCCAGTCACTGGCAAACTCTGAAGTGAATGGAACAGAGAGATTTCAGTGCCCCACACAACAAATACAGACACTAGAAAATTAATCAAAGAAAGTATCAAGGGCTGGCAATGTGGCTTAGTGATGGACCGTTTGCCTAGCACGTATAAGGCCCTGAGTTCAATTCCGCAGTACCGAATACACAAAAAATAAATAAAACTAATAAAATTAAAAGAAAAAAGAAAAATAAAGAAAGTATCAAAGAAGGGGTGGAGGCAAAGCTCAGTTGGTAGAGTGCTAGTCAATGAGCAAAAACCATCAGGCTCCTAGTTCAAGTCCCAGTCTCAGAGCAAAACAAAAAAGAAAGTATCAAGGAAAATTGCTAAACGAGTAGCGATAAGAATCAGCTGCAAGCAGGATAAGGATGGAGTTGTGAGTTCCAGAGCTGACGTATTATAAAATGTCCAGTTTCAACAATAACAAAAAACAATGATAAGCACACAGAGAAACACAAAATCATGGTAAATCAGTACAGCAGAGCATTACAAGTTTTTGTGTACCGTTGTAACTCTCTTAAGTAAAGCTTCATAAAAAGATCTTTTAAATACACAAAGGAATTTCCATGAAGAAATGAAGTATCTGAGCATATTAGTTTCTTGTGTGTGTGTGTGTGTGTGTGTGTGTGTGTGCGCACACGCGCGTGCGCCTTATTAGTGGGGCTTGAATCTAGGACCTCTCAGCTATTTCCACTCAAATTTGGCATTTAACCACTTGAGCCATACCTCTCCTTCCAACTTTTTGCTGGTTAATCGCAGGTAAGAGTCTCAGATTTTCTAAATCAGGTTGGCTTTCCACCGTGAGCCTCAGATCTCAGTCCCTTGGGTAGCTAGGATTACGCCTGAGCCAACAGAGCCTGGCCTACTACCTTCTTTTTCTTTTGGCAGTAAAGAAGATGGAACTCATGGTCCTGTGCTCACTAGGCAAGTGCTCTCCCAACTGAGCCACGCCCATTTTATACGCTGTATTAGGTTAATGCAGCTTGAATCACCAAAAATTCTTAGTTCAAATAGAGAACACCATGGAGTAGGAAAGGAAAGGAAGAAGGAAAGATGGTACCTGAAGACAATAGTTCTTAACATGTGACTTCTAGCAAAAGAGATGAAGAAAAAAACGAAACAAGAAACGTAAGAATGCAAAGCTCTACTGAAAACAGACTGTTCTTTCTTCTATAGTGCCAGTGATAAGAAGAAGTCAAGGCAGGAGACAATAGGAAAACTACCAAGTACCCCTCAGGTGACAGTCTGGTCACACTTCAATGTAATTTTATAATTTAGTTTATATAATTCATAAATAATTTATATGGGAACATAAAACACCTGGGCCTAGGTGAGGGGTCCGTTTGAGTATTCAGTGCAGTGGGAAGACAGACAAGATGATTTTGGGGGGTGAGGGAAGAGGAGGTGGCGATGCAAATGGTAGAGCAGATGAAGAAGTAACTGATTAATCAGATCCACAAACCCCAGACTGAAAAAGATCCAGCTCCATTTACTACTACCATCTTCACCAGGTTCAGGAACTGGTGTCAAGAGCACTGTAGAAAGGAGGTTTGGCAGCTGTTTAGAAGGCAGATGGGTCTTCACCCCAGACTTTGCCAAGATCCAGGGTTTAGTCTCTGCACAAGCTCATACCAGGCCCCAGGAAAAGAGTGGAGAGCCCCATGCAGAAAACAAGAACCCAGACAAGAAAACTGACACTTCCTTCCTCCCCTCTGACTTCCTTGTTCCAGTTGGATCTCAGAACCCTGGCTGTGAAAACAAGCTCAAGTTCATTTGCCAGGAAATCCAAATAAGCCAAGAGAAGAAAAATGACTTAACAAATGTCACTTATAGTGGAGTTCCTTCTGTGTTCAAAGGAAACATCCTATACACAATAAATAAAATGCCAATACCAATAAAATGCTTAGGAAGATAATTACTTCCATTAAAAAAATAAATGGATGGGCAGGGTGCTAGTGACTCACACTTGTAATTCTAGCTCCTCAGGAGCCTGTGATCTAGATGCTGAGATCTGAGGATTATGGTTTGAAACCAGACCATACAGATAAATCCCTGAAATGCTTACCTCTAATGAACCAGCAAAAGCCAGAAGAGGAAGTATGGCTCAGGAAGATAAGGCCCCGAGTTCAAGTGGAACTGGTACCAAAAGAAAAAAGAAAAAGAATATGTAAATGGATGGAGCAGATTACATTTTCTGAAGACAGCCAGACAACACTGTCACTACATGTGTTCTTCTGTAATCTGACCTCCAATCTCTCATCAAGTAGGCAAGCTCTTCCTGCTTTCATTTGGACAGCCATATGATAATGTTGACTGAGGAAAGTTCTGCAGAGTGTAGCCACGCCAGAGTGACCACACCAAAGCTAAGTCATATAAAACCAGGCAGCTACTGCCAGGTTACTTGGAAAATTTTCTCTCTTGACGTTCATTTCTGAACCAGCCTCTATGCTGTGGGAAGCCAGGTTGGTAAAATTCAAAGCCAACAATTCTAACTGAGCCCAGCTCTGACTCCACCCGAGGTGCCTGCGTGTGCAGAGTGAGACGCAGCACTGCGGGAATCGTCCCTGAGTTCTTCACCCGTGCACATCAGGAACAAAACATAAATAAAATGAAAGGGCCAATGCTGTGTGTTACTATGCTGGAGGTGGTTTGCCTCACAGCAATGGATGAGGACAACAGGAAACCCCAGGACACCTAGAAAATAAAAAGAACCCTTAAAAAAAAAAACCAACGAGATGACAGCAAAATTAAAAAAAAACAAAACTCAATAAAAGGGTTGGAAGCTCAAGCTGAGAATTCTCAAACAGACAAACTGTGACCAATTAGGAATAAAAAAATAAGAGAAAGAAATACAATCATTTAGAAGGTCAGGCCAGTAGATTCATTTTCTGGTGGAAAGGCAGGAGGAGGAATGGTATCAATTCAATAAGTGAAGAGCTGGACACAGGTGGCTCATGCCTGTAATCCTAGCTACTCAGGAGGCTGAGAGCCGAGAATCTCCATTTGAAGCCAGCTCAGGCAGCAAAGTCCATGAGACCCTTATCTCAATTAACCACTACAAAGCTGGAAGTGAGAGTGTAGCTCAAATGATAAAGCACTAGCCTTGAGCCCCCAGTACCAGTACCATATATATATATATATATGCACACACACACACACACACACACACACACACACACACACACACACACACACACACACATATCCCAAGATGAAGAAATTGGTACTAGAGGATTTTGTGCATAAATTGATGAAATCCATATATGGTGGGTGAAACCAGAACTCACACCAAGAGTCATCCATTCATTAATCTACCACGACATGTCAGAATGCTGGGGAAAAGCACATGAAGTGGATTCAGAGCCAAGCAAGGTGGCAGCCGCCTTTCATATCAGCACTCAGAAGGCAGAGGCAGCCTTACTACATAGTGGATTCAAGGCCAGCTTGGGCTACGCAGAGAGACCCTGTCTCAAAAATAAACATCAATGAGTTGAGAAGAACGTCTTCACACTTCACAAAACCCAGCTATGGAAACCAATAAAAAGAGCACAGAGCAATGCTTTCCAAGTACTGAAGAAAACAGAACGGGGTCCAGCTGGGAATTCTTATGAATTATCAATGAAAGTAAGTACAAAATAAAACACTTAAACATTCATGTCTCAAAAATATTTACATTTACCAACCTAATTCTCATGAAGCTACCAAACACGGAGCTTCATAACACAGCAGTATTAACCAAGAAAGGAGGAGACTCATCAGGTTAGACACAGAGGTGGATGTAACAGAGGCAAAAGAAGCCCAGAATTATGAAGAAGGTCATGGTAAGCCGTGTAGGAAACCAAGAGACAAACCCCAGCGAGTCAGCAGGCCCTGGGAGCCATGTCTTCCACAACACAAAGCCCTCTGCTCAGGTTTATCCATTTCCTGCGCTCTTCCTTGGCCTGCTCTTGGTGGCACTGAGGCAATAAACACTGAAAACCAACTTGAACAATGGCAGACTTTGAGTCTGAGTTTGTAATAAGCACTTTGAAAACAAAGCAGACTAAGGAAGTTAGGAGTGTAATTATGGATCCCAAACAAAGCAGTCATGCAAAAATGAAAACAGCCATCATAACCTATCCCAGGGCTTAGATCTGAAGAACAGGGCTTTTATATGTAAACACTATTTATCAATCAATGTGCAAGCAACTCTGCTTGAAGCCATGGCTTGCTTCCATCCCCAGCAACAGGAAGGGAAGGGAGGGAGGAGAGAGGCAGGAAGGGAGGGAGGCAACTCAGGAGTGAAGGGAGGGGAAGAGAGGGAAAAGAAGGAATAGATGGAATAGAAGAAAGGAGGGAACAAAAGGGGGGAGGGAGGAAGAAAGAAGGGAGGGAAGGAGGATAAACAGCAGTCAGCAACATATAAAACACCATGGGAACATGGTCAGGATTACTTTGATGCTACCAACCAAGAGCCTCTTTCTAATTTTAGAATGTGCTTGTCTCCAACAGCTAGACACGGTCAGGATCCACAGGAAAGCATGAAGTATGGGTAAAAGGTACAAACAAATACCACTGATGCATGTAAGAAAAGGCCCCAAATCACTGATTATCAGATCTAGATTTCAGCTTGAAATAAGCAACAACAGGAGACCTCCATTCCCAAGTAAATGAGGGCCATTGTGGCTTTCAAAACCCAAATCTACTAGATATGACTAGTATATACACCTAGCTGTGTATCAAAATGAACCAGTTAAACATCTCATATTCATTCTGATACCAGACACTTACTAGTATGTTAATTTAGAGAATTTCACTATATAAAAATGGAGGAAAATGTTGAAAGAAATGAGTTTCATGTGCTCAAGATGTATTTTCCTTAATTCTCTCCCCACCCCAGCTTTTGTTTTTCAGACAAGATTTCCATAGAGTGTCCAGGCTGGCCTCCACTTTGCTACATAGTCAGAGCCCAGGACTCAAATCCTTTCTGCCTCTATTTCCTAAGTCCTGGGCTTAGGAACATGAGCCACCAGGCCCAGAACCTTAATTTCCTTTTTAAAAAAAAATACTGAGGTTTGAACTCAGGGCCTTGAAGTTGCTAGGCACCTACTCTACCACTTGACCCAAGGTTACAGCTCTTTTTAGATTAGTTGTTTTTCAAATAGAGTGTGGCTTTTTGCCCAGGCTGGTCTGGATCGGTTATGCATCCCATGTAGCTGGGTGACAGGTATGTGCCACCATGCCCAATTCTTATTGATTGAAATGGGGTCTTGCACTTTTTTTTTTTTTTTTTTGGCTGGTGCTAGTCTGAAACCAGGATCTTTCCTGTTCTCGTCTTCCTAGTAGCTAGGAGGAAAGAATCTCATTGTAAGTTAATGTAACAAAACCCTGTCTACTTAACTTCTCCCTTCCTCAATCCCTCAGAGTTAGACGAAACCAGGGTGCACACTCACGAACGTTAAGTGAGAGCACTAGTACTGAGGGCCATACTGCCGATGCTCTGTACCCTTCTTCTTTTTTTGTGGGTCGTGGGGCCTGAACTCTAGGCCTGGGAGCTGTCCCTCAGCTCTTCAGCTCAAGGTGAGCGCTCTACCACTGAGCCACCTTCCCAGCCCCTCCTTTTTTTTTTTAAAGGCAGTGGAAATACTCTTTCTTTCAAGCACCTGCACACATCTGTACACGTGTGTATATTTCCACGCCTTGCCTCTGCCTGGGTGTGCATACACAACATGGATGGAAAATCAGGGCCCACACCCCACTGCCCTTCGGCACAGGAAGTCTGAGCTGGTTTTTCTTCTTGCCCTCTGTGTCAGTGGACATTCTAAAGCTCCGCCTCACCCACAGTCCTAGGACTATGCAGCTCTGTGGCCAGAGACAAAATACCAAAAATAATTGTGATGGAAGCCGAAGTCATCGAAGTGTCTTAGGATTGCTACTCTAAGGAAGCCAAGAGACAGAGTAGGAAACAGATACTCCTGAAGACAGAAGCTCTACCATTGGGAATGGAGTTCTTTCTGAGCATCTGGTCACCCTCCTCCTCCCCAAACTCGCCCCTCAACTGACCTCAGGGTTGCCTGAGGTACAGATGATATAGAACACCGTTCTCCAGGGCTTGCCCTGCTTCAAGAGTGGTCTCAATCTCTGCGACCCTCTGCAGGGAGCTGTATAGCTTCCCAGCCCGTCTCCGCCTAGACAATCTGAGACTCTACCCCTGGCTGCCCCTGCAGACCTAACACAATGTTTGAACAACATTGCCACAGCCACACACCAGTGGCTCACGCTGGTAATTCTCAATATGCTGGAAGCTGAGATCTGAGAATCACAGTTTGAAGCCAAAGCAGGCAGGGAAGTCCATGAGATCCTTATCTCTAACGAACCACCAAAAAGCTATGAGTAGAGCTATGGTTCGAGTGGTAGAGCACCTGCTTTGAGTGAGAAAGCTAAAGGACAGTGTTCAGGCTGGAGTCCACGCCCCAGTACCGGTAGGTAAAACTCAACCAAATCAAATCAATCAATCAGTCAAGACTGGTGTGGAGCTGGTGCTCTCAGAAGTCTCTGTTGATCTCTTTGGCTCCAGCCATGCAAACGCGAGGTGACAGTGAGCCTTTTATGACTAGCAGTGGGTCATGTCTTCTGTGCCTTTTGGGAAAAGGCGCTTGATTTGTGGATGGACGCTGCAGGCAAAGCCAGATGATAGGGAATGATGCCTAGCTCCATGCCTCACCCCAGGGCCAGGCCTACAGAGCAACTCAGCCCGCCATGCTTGCCTAGTGAAGCCCGCACTACCACACTCCTTTGCCAAACATGTGGCCCCTCCCGCTCCTATTCCTACCCCCACGACAGAAGCCTGGTGTCCAGATCCTTACACAGGCAGACAACACAGGCTTAAAAACAATAATGTGAGGGCTGGGAAGGTGGCTCAGTGGTAGAGCGCTTGCCTTGCATGCCTGAAGCCCTGGGTTCGATTCCTCAGCACCACATAAGCAAAAAGAAAAAAAGCCAGAAGTGGTGCTGTGGCTCAAGTGGTAGAGTGCTAGCCTTGAGCTGAAGAGCTGAGGGATAGTGCCCAGGACCAGAGTTCAGGCCCCACAACAGGAACAAAAAAAAAAAACAACACCAAAAAACGATAATGTGATTTCCCCCCTATACTTCAAACCCCTCAAACACCAAGATTACTGTTGAAGAAATAGCACCAGAAAATTAAATAACAAATGTAAACAAATCAGCTACTATACCAGTGGGGCACCAGTGGCTCACTCCTGTAATCCTAGTGACTCAGGAGACTGAGATCTGAGAATCATGTTTGTGCAAGCCCACCCAGGCAGGAAAGACCTTGAGACTCTTACCTCCAATGAACCACCAGAAGACTGGAAGCAGCACTGTGGCTCAAAATTGGTAGCGTGCTCGCCTTGAGTAAAGAGAAGCTCAGAGACAGCACCCAGGCCCCCAGTTCAAGTCCCCCTGCTGACAAAATAAAAAATAAAATAAAATAAAGGCGCTAAACTCAAACACACTGCAGAATGACTGACTGCGGGGGGGGGGGGGGGGGCGGGGAGGCAAGAAGGCAGAAGGGTAAATGGGAGGTGAGGGAGAATTAAGTCCTCCACAACAGCCGAACTTGAAAGAGAGCAAACTAGGAACAAGGTAAGCGTTCTATGCTTGAGGGATATGTAAATCACACCCATGGAAATCTACAAAAGTTGCAAAGGGTTGGCTGGGTGTGGGGGGGCACGCCTGGCATCTCCAAGGACACGGGGACACAGAAGTGGGAAGGTGGCAGCCCAGGCAGAAAGCCAGATGCCACCTGGAAAATAACCTGGGTCGAAAGAGGTTGGAGGCGGGGTTCAAGCTACACAGTGCCTGTCAAGCCAGCGTGAAGCCCTGAGCTTAATCCCGAGAAGCTAAAACGAATGGTTACATGGTAGGGCTATGCTTTACACTGCAACTACCGAGCCCTTGAAATGTGACTACCACGACAGAGGAAGTGAATTAATTTAATTAATTAGAATTAAAGTGTAAAACCTGAAGCACCATAAAATACCCTTCCCTTAAATATAACTTTAGTGTTTGGATTGGACATTTCTCTTTACTGGCTGACAGTGTATGAGCTCACCATTTATTGAAGTGTGTATACCTCATATTTTGGACACATGCATCATTCCAATAACTCATTAATCACTTCTCATACTGCTTTATATACAGTTAAAAATAATACATGTTCATTAATATTAATTAATACATGCACGAGTATATTGGCAGGAGTATATTAATTTCAAATACCAATTTCTTTTCTGAAATGCTGTGAACCATTTTGAATTTATTTTTCTCTAGAATTTTGGAATATTTGCATATCTATGCAAAGTAGGAACTCTTAGGACTGGAACCCAGTCTATGAGACAACTCATTGATGCTTCTGTTTTTGGTTTTTTGGAGGTTTTGGTCAGTTTTGTGGCTTGAATTCAGGGCCTGGGAGCTCTCTTGAGCTTCTTGCTCGAGGCTGGGACTCTTGCACTTGAGTCACAGCGCCACGTCCAGTTTCCTAGTGGTTAATTGGGGATTATGTGACTGTAACCCCTCTGTACATCACCCTGACAATGAAAAAAGTCCCACGACCTTCCCTGCCCTGGATGGCTTCGAACTGTGATCCTCAGATCTCAGCCTCCTGAGTAACTAGGATGACAGGCGTGAGTCTAGCACATTGATGTTTCTTATACACCTTGGACACCGAGGTTGAGGGTAATTTTAATAAACTATCAGTGTGTCAGGGCCCTGATACAATTTGTCACATAGGGCAAGGGGTGGAATTTTCCACCTGTAAAAAGTTTCAGATTGTGATGCAGTGTGGATTTCAGCTTATCGCTGCTCTATTAAAATTACATTTTCCTTCTTCATTTTTGTTTTTGCTCTCAACCAGTGCTTCTAGAAAATTACACGTGGCTCACATTATTTCTCCTGGACAACCGAGAATGGAAAGTTCTAGGGGTTGTTGACAAAGCAATGTGGTTTTTCATGACTGTGACCGTGTAGGGACAGAGTTCTCCATGGCCCCTTGCATTTCTATACAACTTGAGTTAAAAATAATAATAACCTTGGGGAAAAAAACAACACTTTGACCCAGGTACTGGTGACTCACACTAGTAATCCTCGCTACTCATAAAGATCAAGGTGTAAAGCCAGCTCATGCAGAGGAACAAAAATCAAGAGACACACCCCCATGCCTCTGTGCCAGTAAAAAGCTGGAACTGAAGGTATGGCTCAAGGGGCAGAGCACCTGCAGTAAGTGTGAAAGCACAAGGCCCCAAGATCAGGCTCCAGTAGTGGCAGGCATGTGTGTGAGCACACACACACACTTACAAAATAAATGCAGAAACAAATAATAAATAACATTTTGTGCTATGAACTGTCTTTCCAAATTATTTTTTAAACACAATCAATGTTGTTCCTCTCCCTAAAAACAACAAACCTTCTTCCAGAAGGTTCTCAGAGAGAGAGAGTGCTTGCCTAGCATAGTCTTGTAGATCTCTGAGCTGCCTTGTGGGAATTTGGACTCAAGAAATCTGCCTGGACCAGGTACAGTGGCTCACGAATGTAATCCCAGCTATGGGCAAAGTAGAGATGGGAGGATCATAGTAAAAGCCTCCCCTGTAAAGTGTTAGGAAAACCTTACCTTTAAAAAAAAAATAGGGCTGGGAAGGTGGCTCAGTGGTAGAGTGCTTGCCTAGCATGCATGAAGCCCTGGGTTCGATTCCTCAATACCAGATAAACAGAAAAGGTAGTAAAGCACTAGCCTTGAGTAAAAGAAGCTCAGAGATAATGCCCAGGCTCTGAGTTCAAGTCCAGGACTGACAAAAGACAAACAAAAAAATAGGACTGGGAATGTGGCTTAGTGATAGAGTGTTTGCCTAGCATGCATGAAGCCCTGGGTTCCATTCCTCAGTACCACAGAAAAAGTTGGAAGTAGCGCTGTGGCTCAAGTGGTAGAGTGCTAGCCTTAAGCAAAAAGAAGCTCTAGAACAGTGCCCAGGCCTGAGTTCAACTGTATTTGATGTCGGTATAATTTGTGGAGGGGAAGGGGAAAAACAAATCATTTAAATAGGGATACAGGTGGACCCATTGCAACAATGAGATGTACAAGTCGTTATGTCGAAAACGAACTTTACAACTTTGGTGGGGGGGGGGGGAGAGGGAGCAGGGAGGATTGGGTGGGGGGATGGGGGGGAGGGGGGAGGATGGGAAGGGATGGGAAGGGTAAACAAAGGAGGAGGCTACAATGCTTGATAAGAAATGTACTCATTATCTTGCCCATGTAATTGTAACCCCTCTGTACAGTATTTTCACAATTAAAAAACAAAAAAAAAAGCCAAGAACAGGGCTTCTGTAGACCCAGCCATGCAAGCTAGGAAGATCACAGTCCAAGACCAGTCCTGGGGGGAAAACGTGTAACTTTACCTGAAAAGGGCTGGGAACTGGCTCAAATAGTAAAGTATAGCAAGTATGCAGCCCTGAGTTCAAACCACAGGACTGCCAAGAAGAAAAAGTTTCCACCGTGTAGAAGAAAAAAACCTGATTCCCCTGCCTGAACGGCATGGAAAGTTCTACTCAGCTCTTCCATTTGTTCATGAAACTACCGAATGTCACTTCAGTAACAGCCTGGCATTTCACTCATTAGTGGAAATGGCATTCATTCCTGTCTCTTTTCAAGGCTCAGGCCCCCATGGGCACAACTAGGAACTCAAGCAGCGGAGGTGCTGGGGGAAGGGCTGCGGGCTGCCTTCCTGCCAGCCCAGTGCTTGGCAGCACCCGTGAAATCCAGGTCTCTGCATTGGCAGAAAGCGGGAGGTGCGTGGTAGGAAGGACTCACGAGGCTCCCTGGATGACCAGAGACCTGTGCTGCTCATGACAGGATTTAGATGTCAGGATAGAAATGGCTCCTGCTTCTTAAACTTTCTCTAGAGACTCAGAAAGACTGCACCCGAGGTGACGGCAACCCCAGGAAGGCAGCCAACAGGCCCCGGGCGGTCAAAGCTGCTCACAAGGTGAGTAATGACCATTGCGGTTGGGCAACATTGAAGACTTCCTTCCCCATTTCACCCCGAGCCATGTCCTCACCTTGGTGAGACTGGTGACAAACAGGGTCACTCAGACACCCCTGATGCACACGCAGACACAAACACCCACACGCATGCACAGGCATGCACACATATATGCAATGCACACGTGTACACTTGTGTAAGTGTGCAAACGTGCATGTGTATGTATAGGCATATTTGTGGACAGGTGCATGTGCCTATGCACACATGAATGCAATGTACATTTACACATGTGTACATGTTCGGGCAGCATGGGTACATGTGTCCATGCACTTGCACATGTGACCATATGCATGCGTGCATGCACACAGGCATGCACACAGGCATGCACTGCTTAGGACTAAAGGCTGACCACACATCTCTTTACACACCAAATGACAGCTCAGAAGAGTGAACAGAAACCCACTACCTGGCCTCTATTCATTCTTTTTCCCCAAAGCTGGAGACAACATCGTACCGGAATGGATGGAGGTCAGGAGGGTGCTGGCAGCAGGCATGATGCTTGGGCCGCTTTCTACCTGGGGTCACCTTGTCTGCCTATCAAGGGTGACAGCACAGGCTTCAAGCTACTGGCTCCAGCTCAGTAGCAAGACCAGCTGGAAAGGAGGGATGCAGAGGCACAGATTCCCTGCCTACCACAGCCTGCCAGAGCAGAAGTCCCACTGGTCCCACTTCATCCAACTTCCTGTTCAACTGAAAATGAATGCTAGAAATAGGTGTGTGGTCTTACAAATTCCATACATTTCCCCTAGAAGCCAAAGGAACACACACACTTCAGCATCAAAATAAAGGCACCATATCAGTAGTTAATATTCAGCCTTCAAAAGGAATGAAATCTGAGCTAGGCAAGATGGTACACAACTATAGTAGCCCTCGGCAGGCTGGGCACGAGATCAGAGATCATGAGTTTGAGGTTAGCCTGGCTCTCACAGTGAGAGGCTGAAACGGAGGGGGGGAAAGGGGGAGAGAGAGAGAGAGAGGGAGGGAGAAAAAATGAGGAGGTGGAGAGGAGAAGCAAAGGAGAACAGGTCATTTCTAACCTGTTGCGACATGAATGGGCCCTGGACACTGTTAACCGAAGTAAACCAGACACAAAAAGACACTCACAGTAGGATCTCAGTTACGAGAGGCAGGAAAAGGAGCTGAATTCAGAGGCAAAAAGCACATGGGGTTACTGGAGGCTGACAGACAGGTGAATAAAGAGTTAGGTACAGCGTTTCTACCTCTGTTAGCGAAATGAGCTCCCTTCCCATAGCTTAGTCCCCTTCCCCTCTCCACAG